GGGAGGGGAAGGGAGGGAGGGGGGAGGGAGGACGGACAGACAGATGGACGGACAGAAGGAAGACTCTGAAATATCAATGATTGTAACTTACATGGATATAACTCCTTTCATGGGTGGGGTGGAAGAACCCAGGATGGTATAAGAAGTGGCATATAAGCAGTAGGGAGAATGGGGAATCAGGAAAAATTGCTTTCTCCAACTTTCTTCCAGTTGGAGCCTCTTCTAGATTTCAATTCCTTCCACTAAGAGAAAGTGCATTTCCATTTTGGGATGGGCAAGTCTAAATCCAATCCCAAATATTTACAGCTGATTCCTATTAATTCATCATCACAACAATTAGCTGAAGCAGGCCTCTGTATAATTTAATTGATTGGGATTAAAAGAGTAATCCACACTGCAATTTCGTATGTATATGCCAAAGTGGAATTTTAAGAATCTGGCCACTTAACATTTCCATTCCTTCTTTACAGCTTGAACAGCAGCCACTTGTGAAAAAAGTGGAGTTTGTACAGGAATATGTCAACATTTATCTAGATCAGGTCAGTATTGGGAGAAGGGATATAGTTTTGTATTAGGTAAGCATGATTTTCATATTTCATAGGCTGGGCCAGTTAAATTGCTGAGTTATAATAACTGCCATTATAACATTATTATGAGGACCAGAACATACTTGGCTGATGAAAGTTATTAAAATTATTAACATTATTATTTTATTACTATAACATACCTACATTTGGTCATGGAAAACAAGCTAGACTTGCAGAGATGTTTGACCAAATTGGAAGGAAAATTATTTCTTGAAGTTTATTGATTAAAAGTTTTATAGGTCCCAGAATACACACTTGGAATTATGATCAGTTGTCACAGAGGCCATCAGAACACTTCTGTTATTCCATTATCCTGTTTTGTTTTGTTTTCTATGTTCCAAAGTTTTGATTTAGTTTGGGATGGGATGGGATGACATCTTGTATCACTTTGTATTTTATTTTATTATTTATAATTTTTTGTTCTCATGTTTCTTCAAACTGTAAATCCCCAGAGTTACTCTTGTGAATTGGGCAGCCTTATAAATTTAATAAACAAATAAAATTATGACTGAAGAGAAGTTACAATATGTAAAAAAATAAACAGCTTGAATTTTTGTTGTATGGGGGGATTCTATTTAGTTGATACCAGTTTCTATAACTTTTTCAACTCACTGTGATCAAAAGTAAAAAGGAGAATCTTGGTTTCTTAATGTCTCTTTGAATTAAATATTTTGTTAGGTTGGAAAGAAGAAGCAGTCATACACTTTCAACATGAGCCAAGATATTCTAGTCAAAGAACTAAAGCCAGCTACTGTTAAAGTCTATGATTACTATCAACCAGGTAGGGTTTTTTCTCATGTTGAAAATTATTGGCATTTTTAATTAATTTGTATCTCTCAACCTGAAGAATTTGTGACCCATGAAGCTGAATACAGCCTATTTGTCATGTGTTGTAGCTATAACTTCCTTTTTAAGCTGGAAAATTGAATCTAGTAGAAATGATAGAGTGTATTGCCTTCAGTTCGGTCAGTTTCAGATTATAAGGCTGGTTTTCACAATGCTTCTTGGAATATATCAATGTAGGTGGATTGAAGCATGACCAGATTCTTTGTTCTGAGTTTGGGGGCTCTAGACCTTAAAACAAAAGGTTTACTATATGTTTCTCTCACACCTCTTCTGACCATCAAGCATTCTGATGTCCCTCTCCAGCTGATTAACCTAAGTAACATTTTTAGAGGAGGATAAAAAAGAGGATACTCTAGCTGTTTAGCTAGTTCTGAGAGTAATGGTCTGTATTGATTTCTTATAGATGAAACGGCAACAGTGGAATACGAAGACCCCTGCCAATGAGGTTAGTCAGTTATAGGCCAGAAGCCATGACAACAAGGGCCTCTGCAGATGACCAGCAATATCCAAGTCTAACTGTCACAGTATAATGCACATCCAATTTAGCATTGCAGTTTCACAATACCTTGGATGGATATTCTGATACTGCCCACTTCAGTGACTGGGGAATTCAGGGTATTTACTGACTGCACCAATCAAATTGTTGAATTTATAGCTCTCCAAACTAACCATCAATTTGATTTTTTTAAAATCCCTCCTTTGAGATTGATCTTAGATAAACTTCTCTTCTGATCCCCAGAAAGGAGCAGTGTGAATAATTTGGCACATTTTGGCTAGGATACCACAGATATAACCAAAGCTGTTTTTACCTCAGGCATGTTCCTGCTAGGCAAGGCTATCTAGCTCAGAGCTACCTAGCCAGGCAACATACTGTCTTTGTTGCTAACATTCCATCTACTAGGAAGTACATGCAATCCACTGATGCACATTCAGAACAATTGCAAGGTTGTTGCAAATGATGAAACACTAGAGCAAGTGGATGCATTTCTGTACGCTGGTAAAGATGGGAAAATGGATGGAGAAAGTTTTGAGAGGTACAAATTTTGGTAGAAATATAGTGGGTAATGTGTGGTCTGTTGCAAAGGAATTAATATTCATCAAAAGAAGCAAAAATGGCTGTGTGTAAGATCATAAACAAAAAGAAATATAGTCAAAAATGAATGGATAGTTAATGAATGTGTAATGAATGCAGAAATTTGTAACCAGAATGTGGAATTGGTTTGATCATAAAAATGAAAGAATGGGAATCAACTTGCAAAGCAAATATATGAAGGGCAAGTAAATATGAAAGACTAAAAGGAAAGGAAAAGCCTGAAAAGTCACAACTGATTGAAAGTCAGTTGAAGTTTGAATTGAAAAAATTTAAAGTTGAGGTCCTGAAAAACAGGGAGGTAAGAAGTTTGAGAAGAAAAGGCCATTTATGAAGCAGTCTATGGATGTAGTGAAAGCAAGGATGGTTTGCAAGGATATAAATGTATGGAGAGGTATAGTGAAGCTAAACTAAATTTATGATTGATTTGATTGATTGATTGATTGATTGACTGATTGATTGATTATGTGCCATCAAGTCAGTGTAAACTGTTAGCAACCACATAGATTTGCTCCATGATGATCTGTCCCTAACCTGGTCTTTCAGGTCTTCCAATGGTGCATGCATCGCCACTGTAACTGAGTCCATCCACCTTGCTACTGGTCATCCTCTTCTTCTCTTTCATTCTGCCTTTCCCAGCATCAGAGCCTTCTCCAGAGAGCGAGGTCTTTGGATAATGCATCCAAAGTAGGATAATTTGAGCTTGGCCATCTGTACCAATTTTTTTGCCTTTTATTTATTTCTTTTTCTGTACAGTATTTAAGACAGCATTGTTTATCTTAAAGGAGAATAGGATGATGGGTATATATGAGTGTATGTAAAATGTTTTTCTCCCTATTTCAGGAGAAGAAATATTGCTGATTCCAGCTGCATAGTTTTCAGCGCTTTTGCATGCCCAGAGTTCAATGCACATGCTCATCAGAATTTTCTGTTTAAGAGAAACTACATTTCTTTTTTTGATTTGCTTGAAGTGCCATTTTTTATGGCAAGAAGAGCCATAAAACTAAGGAACTCTAGAATAATATAGAAAAGGTCCTATGTTAACAAGTAAATAATAAAAAAATTGAATTGGTTCAATGGCATTTTGTTCTACTAGATTCTCTTTATTGACTGCTCCCTGCATAAATATAAGAAACTAACCTTGGTGTCAAAGTCTAGTTCTTTTATTTTCTTTTTTGAGAAGGAAAAGGGAAAGAGAAACATCAACAAAAACCTAAATTTCTTTTGTACTAATCAAACTATTATTGCATTTTAATTCATATCATGTCATACAATTAAACTATAAAAATTAAGTCAGGAAAATTTCATAACAGAAAGAAACAGGAAACTAAACATATCAATTTGTATATGCAATCCACATTACTAATTAATGATCCAGTCAAGGCTTCCAGTAATAAAATGCTTGTTCAAATATAGAAAGAGTTATAAGTTCTTCAGGCCATTATATAATTGATAGAGAATGGATGTCCTTCCAGATTTAGAATATCAGCATTTTTAGCGGCATGCACACCATGACAGCCTGCATTCAGCCATGACTTCCTGCTGGCTGTTCACACATTCACCCAGACACCCCAAAAATGTTTTGTGTTACACAGCTGATAAGAGAAGCTGAGTATAGAACAGATAGCACAGGAAAACATTCCCATAGGAGGGGCATTTGGGCTGGCATCAGAGGTATTTCCTTATGTGAGAAGGCAGGGAGAAGTGAGGGCCTCAAACGAACCATGTTTGCTAGGGGAGAGCGCTGTGCACCATGGGGCAG